GAAGGCCAAAAAGTTAGGAGGAACCTTACTCCCCCTCCAAGAACCTTCCCGGTTTCAACCACCCAATCGCCGACCCCCTTTCAAAATTTTCGAAACTACAAACATCAGAACAACCTTTCAGGCTGGACAAGAAAAGGATGAAAAAGGGGGTTCTGAAATTCATTTTCACCTTTCTTTCATTGAAAAAACGGGACGCGTCGGAAGAACACAGCTGAATTCTCGATGCGTACGGGTCTCCGCAAAGCTCGCCGAGCTGGGAAAGGGCGAATTCCGCCTTACCGGTAATCAGCACGTTATCCTCTCCAACATCGAAGACGCTGATCTCCCTGCCATCAAGGTGCTAATGGCCGAATGCAAACTCGATAACACCGCCTTCTCAGGCCTGCGACTCTCATCGTCTGCCTGCGTCGCTTTCCCAACCTGCGGGCTTGCGATGGCTGAGTCAGAGCGCTACCTGCCCATCCTGATCGACAAGCTCGAGGACTGCCTGGCGGAGAACGGCCTGAGCAAGGAAAGCATCGTCATGCGCATGACAGGCTGCCCAAATGGATGTGCGCGACCCTGGTTAGCCGAGGTGGCGTTTGTGGGTAAAGCATATGGTGCCTATAACATGTATCTGGGCGGTGGTTATCATGGTCAGCGGCTGAATAAGCTTTACCGAGCGTCGATTATGGAGGATGAGATTCTGACGATCATGAAGGAATTGCTGAAGCGGTATTCACTGGAGCGGCGAGCGGCAACCGTTGAAGGAGGGGAGTCGGAGAGGTTTGGTGATTGGTGTATTCGGTCTGGCGTTATTAAGGAGACAACGGAAGGGAAGACTTTCCATGATGATGTAAGTGATTTTTCTCCTTTCTCCTTTCTTTTTCATGCGCTTTTACTAATTTCAATGGCTCGTATAGGTTGCGGAAGATGATGAGGATGAGGAGTAATACGTAAACCACATCGATATCTAGCTCCTCTACTTTACCTTGCGTGAAATGCTTTTTGACGTCTCTTCGTGCTATGTGTTTCAATAATCGATTTTGGAATCAGTCCATGTTCTTTGTATTTGCGGAAATTGTCTCCATATAGATACGCAGATACCTGTATATAAGTTCATACTCTATCCTAGAAATTTGAATTCTTTGCCGTCGTTTTTAATAACATTCTTTTCATGTAATTAAAATGGACCGGGAGCTCCGTAATTCCCACATGTTTTAGGTACAGATCAATAGGCCCGTTAATATTACATCTGATTAACGCGAATTGTGGATGGAAACACAATTGGAGCTAAGTTTTGTTAGGGTTTAGCTGCGTCAGAAGAGCACCAAAATAACAAAAGTTTTCTGTCACATTGAGCCTAAGATAGCAAAGTACTAGTACGGTATACTGATAATGACCATCTTGGAGAAGCGTTAAAATTTGTCAAACAGTCCTAGCTAGTGTCAAGGAAATGCTATCTTCAATGGGCTGAATTAGCCACGCTGTGATTTACCATCTTTTCCGCACAACCTCCCCCCTCAACACCATGACGTGTAAGTCGATACCTATCCCCTCATAGTGCATTAATACCAGAAGAATGAGGAAAAAATAAAGATATATAAGACTAAACAAAAACATGAACCCGCGCACGGATAATCTACAACTGTCCAAAGCTAACAAGGTCACGTAGCTACTATAAGAAATGCAACGGCTCCTGCACCCGCACCCGCACCCGCACCCGCCTCTACAAACACAACAACCCCTCCCCCCACAGCCGACGACCCCGTAATAGCTTCCTACGATATCTACATAACCGATTCTCAAATACGGCGCTTCCTCCTCCAATACCCAGACCGCCAGGCCACACAGCCCTACAACGCCGCAACGCACCAGAAACCTACAGAGCTCCGTCTGAAACCGCGTACGGGCCTCGTGGAAGTCGACATACCGATCAACACGCATGTCAACTACGATGAGAAGAAGGGGCGTAGATACGGCAATGCGCTGAGGAGGAGTAGGGTCATTGCTGAAGGGGGCACGATGGGGATGGCGGGTGGGTTTAATCCCGGGGCGAGGGCTAAGGGGTTGACTGTTGGTACTGGTACTGGTGCTGGTGCTGGCGTTGTGGGTGTTGAGGATGAGGAGGATGAGATTACGACGGGAAAGAGGGAGGAGACAGCAGATTTTTTGCGGGGGATGAGGAGGATATGCTGGGATTATGAAGATGAGAAGGCGGGAGTCATCATGACCACACAGACGCTCGAGGGGAAGATTAAAGGAGCCTGTTTGATGGGGACCCGGTTTATAATGTTGGGGGGCTTTTAGGGGAAATATCGTTCGAACCCTTAAGTCCCATTTTTC